CTGTTATTAAAGAGTTTTTCCAAGATTTTTGAAAATTGTGACAACAGAGAAATCGGTCTATAATTTTGTGAAGTTGTGCTTATCACCAGATTTATACAGTGGAATCACCTTTGCTATTTTCATATTATTGGGGAACTGCCCAAGTTGAAACGACATGTTAAAAATATGGGTTAATGGTTTGCATATCTCCTCAATTACCCATTTAACAGTTGTCATAGTGATACCATCACTATCACTAGATGTTTTGTTACCACATTTATTCACTATCTCTATAATTTCCTTTTCAACTATGGGCTTCAAAAACATAGAACTCATGTTCCTTTCGATTATTGTATTATTATTTATAGTGACGGATGTATCATCTGTACAAATGCTTCTTGCTAAACCAGGACCAACATTCACAAAGAACCTATTAAACTTATCTACTACATCCTCCAATCTATTAACCGGTGTATCATTATCCATAAAATATTGAGGGTAGTTACTCTTGCTGGAACTGTTTCTAATCAATTTATTTAATATATTCCAAGTACCTCTCATATTATTTTTATTGCCCTCTAATACTTTAAAGTAATATAGTTTCTTACATCTCCTCAAAATCTCAATTAATTTGTTCTTATATGACTTATATTTTTCTTCCGCCTTCTTTGACCTGTCCTTTATGAATTCCTTATATAACGCATTCTTCTTATTACATGCATTCTGTAATCCCTTACTCATCCGAGATAAACTAGGCAATTAAAAAATGTCACCAGCGTTTGTCTTTCTATGTCTATATCTTAGTTGTTTAGTGTTTTTGTTGTTGTTTTGTTTATAACGTTAAATGAAATGTAAAACATGGATCTATCCATTGTGATTGGGTGCTGTACAAATAAAAAAGAACTGAATCGAATTAACACGTTGCTGTAACCTGGATACACCCCTTTTGTTAATGTTGTGTTGTCGTCCAGGCACACAGCTATCGTGGCATACGGCGATGAGTTCTTCTTCGGAGGGGAGGGCATCTCCAGCTGTCCACCGGTAAGTCTGGAACAGGTACCAACTCCCATTCCATGTTTTAATCAAGTAAGCTCATGAAAGAAATGTAGGACATTTATGTGAGACTGCTGCACGCAGGCAGAAGATGGGGGCTGTCCAAGTGTTTTGGTGCTAAGCATGTGCCCCCCCATCAAGTAGACATAAATCCCCAAAAGCACTACGTTTGGGAAATCATCCAATCTAATAATTCACTTGCTGCTACACTGCCCAACTTTGTTACTTTTCCAGAACTTTGCAATTTTTCTGTAACTTTCATATATAATATGTACATGTTTTGAGACACTTTCTTTTTGTGTGTTTCAGGGGGGGACAATGCTGGGTCCTCCAGATACAGTCGTGGAGCTGGGCGAGACCGAAGTGTCAGAGGAGATCTTCATGGATTACCTCTCTTCCCTGGGAGAAAGCACATACAGGTCGAGCATCTGCTCCTGCACAGTGTTACTCTTCTTTTAATACAGGAAAGCTACCAGTTGTTCATACATATTATTATACAAACATACATTACCATTATTCTAAATATAATGTCCCAAAGCAGACACGTCAAAATGACATGCAGTAGTAATCTTTCTGATGACCTTTTTTCCCAAGTTTGTCATAATGTTTAGCTGAAGTCTAATCAGGTCTAAGATCAATGGCAGGTTTATCATTACCATTATACATTTAACTAGTCACAGTGCATGAAAGCTGTGACCTGATGCACCAACTCTCCTCCATTCTTTTGTGGTTTAGAGGTGACAGGTATCGTCTATTTGAGCACAACTGCAACACCTTCACCAACGAAGTGGCTCAGTTCCTGACGGGCAGGCCCATCCCCTCCTACATCACCGACCTTCCGTCTGAAGTCCTCTCCACGTGAGTGTGAGAAACAGTCTGTCTCAGCCTGGTCACTATATGACCACCTCACACAAGACAGTGATTCAGTGGATGCAGCAATGCAGTCTTTACACTAAAATCTAGCAACTTCTTTAATTTTCCTTAAGACCAGTGATGTAAAGTACATTTAGTCAAGTACAACCTTGAGATATTTGAACTTGAGTATTTCAGTTTTCTGTTACTTTCTACTTCTATTTCACTACATGTCAGAGGGAAACATTTTACTTTTACTTTGCTACATTTATTCGATACCTAGAATTAGTTATTTCGTTAAAGTTTTAGATTGAAAACGTATCAGTTTATGAAATATACAGCACACACAGTCTGCTCATTTGCTAATAAAATATAACCAAACATTTTTGGTTATGGGTTATGCCCTAAAAATCTGCAACAATCGCCCTTTGATGCTGTTTAAAATATAAAATGAAATCTCTTGCTTTCATCTCCAGACCGTTCGGCCAGATTCTGCGGCCAATTCTGGACTCGATCCACATCGCCCCTCCAGGAGGTAACGTCATCAACGGGGGAAGAAACATCTAGGCTGAGAAAGCAGCAGAGTCCGAGCGGATTCAGAGCCTCTTCCATTGTACTCAGTCATTGAGAAGTCTGTCTTTTTTTTCTTAATTTCTTTTGTAAATAATTTACACACTGAAATGAAGATAATTTCAGGTAATTCACAGCTACAACTGAAAGCAGAATTTAAATATAATTTCTTCCTTAAAATCTAATTGGTCGTTGAATGCTACTTAGAGGGAATCACTTCCCGCTGTATGAAGTTCGAGGGCGTTGGTCACTATACATCACACGCAGGGAAGTGACGTAGTGTAGTGAAGTACCTGGACAGCAGTGAAGTCCGATGGGATTCTAGATTAATACCAGCAAAGCCAGATATCACAACAGTTTCTCAAGATGACTTTGGTGATTGTTGCCTCCTTAGAAACACATTTGTGCAAAGTCATATGTCCAGTTATTTAACTTATTTTTTTAATAACAGTATATTTAATCCAGTATTGTAAAGAGCAAACCAGAGTCACTGCAGCTTTAACATCGTTTACATTTTGAAGAACTCGGTATAAAATATTGCATATATTGATAGCTGTAATTAAACCACCTAGAACATTAAAATACCTCTTGCACATTAGTGCATCAAGCTGATTTACTACATTCGCTTCTCTACTTAGATACAAAACATTCATTTACTTGTATGCAGGTCAGAACTCCTAGGATGTTTTGTTTTTCGCTATTGCAACATTTATTTTAAAACGTTTTTTCACCACTGACAGGTTTAACCCACAATGTCTCCTAGAAATGATGTATACTGTATCTAATTTTCCCCATTATGTTGTTTTGACAAACGTAACCTTAGCCAAGCGCTGCGAGGGCCAAAAGATGACCATCAAACCGTTTAATAATGCTGTAGTGGCTACAAGTTGAAACTGTACTGCAAGATCTGATATATACAGGCAGAAAATAAACTGCTGTCAGCAAACATTTTACTGATATGTTCAGTATTTGGTATTTGTCAAATATGCAAATGAACAACACATCCTCGTTTAAAAAAACAGCAGCATAAATTTCCTTCAGAATGTGTGCTTTGTTGCAAATCACCTCATTCCTAGGAGACAAGGTTGCAGTGCATTATGTGATGTGGCTGTCTAATTTTGTTTGATAGCCTGTGTTTAATTTCCCATCAGCAATCTGTTTTGACTGGTAACATTTGTCTCTATGATTTCTGTTGTATTCAGCTCCTGTGTGGTCGCCTGTCTTACCAGTCGTTGTAGAGTTTGTGATATGACAAAGCAGCTTGGGATGACATGAAACTCTATATCTCCATAGCAGGACTGGGATCAGTTCACTGTAGTTATGTCTGTGTTTAACCCTGGATGACATTTGTTAACGGCAGAGCAAATAGAAAACACAAACAATTCCACAGTGCTGTAAAATATTTTTCCAGACAATCGTGGTCTTTTATTAAAGGTTTTTGACAATGGAACCAGTTTTCCAGGTCAGAACTAACCAAGAATCTGAGGGTACTGGTATTAAATCTACTGATATAGGATATAGCTGAAAGTGAACTGTGCCTCAGCCCTGTTATATAATGGAAGCTGTGCCTCTTGTAATGTGTTCCCAGCCCCCCCAGGGAGATGCTGGTCATAGATACACTTATGTTTTTTAAATGCATGTGTCCCAGTTTCTGTGAGCATAATTCTAACCAACTGCACATCCACTGATATTTTTAACGTAGAGGTGACCATATGCAGGACAACATCCTGCACTGTGTCACACGGCCACCAGAGTGTGTTTCATATACAGTATGATACACCCGTGTGCCTTCGTTCCCCTCCGCTCAGCCACAGCCACACTGTTATGGGTTGGCATGGTTATCATAGAGCACAGATGGTAGTTTCCTGACTAGTCTGCATTAAAAAGCTGATAGCTGACTGAGTGAACTTAAAAAAAATATGGAAGTTACAGTAGGTAACCTGAGACTCACTAATCTCCACCATACAATGCACATTTAACTGTATGAAACATACGCAGTTGTAAATATTCCAGAGTAAACACCACCTGGATCAGGACTGTAACTCACAGCCTATAGTCTCAGTGCATTGCTCTGCCATCAGCAAGAACACACAGCTAGCTGTCTGATTTCAAGTTAACACATACAGCAGATCCCCTGTATTAGGGTTCATCCGACTAGCATCACGTTACACACATTAACCATGCTGAAGTTCACGAGCCTTTCCCTGCTTAAACAGAGTGAAGGGTGCAAGAATCACAGAGATGCAAGTCTCTCAAAGTGATTTAACCAGCATTATATTTCACCTGCAATAAATAAGCCACCACCAACCTGCCGTTTGTAAGTATTTGGCTACTTTTGGAGATTAACATTTTACAGGTAATTCCCCTTTAAGTGGCCACAAAGCTCAGGTGAATCAGGGTTCACCTGTTATTTTGCCTTCTGCTAACCAACTAACTGACATGTTAACCAGAATGATGAAATGTATTTACTGTACAGGTCACCCTGCAATGTATGTTGTTGCTGCCTGCTACCTGCAATCTGAAATTGCAACAGATACTAATGGATTATTCCTTATCTAACCATGGTAGACATGTTTATGCATATTGTTTGTGTAATTGTTTTTGTAATTCTACCTATACATAAAGCCACCCAATGCACATGTGAGACTCTCTGGGGTATTTATGACCTTTCAAATAACTCCTGGCTATTTACAGACTCCAACATGTGATAATAGAAAAGGAGATGCTAGTAAAGATATTCACAATTTGACTGTGAAAAGGAAAAAGGGGTCTAATGGAATTTAAGCTAAAGTTGTGTGCACATCCACAAAATCTCTGTGGGATAAGTGCTAGATACAAAAAAAGCAATAACAGAGTACAACAAGTACCCACCGACCAGCTGCAGGCAAAAATACCCAGGGGAAGGAAATGAAACATATATACAGTATATAAATAAATGGCAAATGCTATTATCATCATCTAATCAACATTCATGCAATTAGATGTATACAGTCGCAAGAAAAAGTCATGGCACTGTTTGCAAAATCCTGGTTTTCTGCATAAATTGGTCATGAAATGTGAACTGATGTACGCTATAAATACTCACATATCTCAAAGTGCTCGAATTATAATTGACCAATGGGAAGTGAGCAGCTACATGTCGTGTACCATCGTTGCTCCTGTGCTGCTGGCAGCTTCACTGCAGTTCTGTGTGTGTCCACAGAGAGACAGTGCTGCTCTGCCTTTAGCTACAGATACATCTTTAAGACAGAAATGGAGTCTGTCAGAAGCTGCAGAACTAACCACAATAAATAAATAAATACAATAATCAAGCAGTTAATCAATACTACAACTGCAATCCTCTGTATAATTCATAAACTGCTTTCAAGACTCAGTAAACAAGGAACATAACATGCTAATTGTTCAAAGTGATACCAGTAATACGACTGACGTACTGTTCGCTCAGCAGAAGTGGGTCCTCTCTGGGGAAATCAGAAGCTTAATGAGAAAAGAAACTGCACTTAAAATGAAAATGGACACAATACTCTGCTTGACAAAGAACCAAATAAATGAATGATGGAGTTAAACATGGAGTGTAGTTTGGCCCCAGGTCTCCCATTTTGTTTCTTGGCTCACCTTACTAGTTCACCAGTAGACAGGTACTGTATTTCACATACGGAATGAGTTCACAACAAGTAAGTTCATCATTTTTGTTCAGTTATTTGACCGTCATCACACCAGGTCTTGTCCGTGCTACGCTCAGCTACGGTCAAAGAAGGTGTCCCTTTTCCAGATGGTGGATATCTCACTGTTGTGCAAACAGATGTGAAGCGCACCTCATCCATGGCCTTTAGTTCAGCACCGCTCCCAAGAGCAAGGCGCTCATAAATGCATACAGACCTACCCTGTCCTTGCTACCTGCAGATGAGTAGCTGAATCAGCTCAGATGGTGGCGCGTTATGTGTGTCCGTGTGACGCCTGACAAACGTTAACCTTCCCTCCAACTTGAAGGGCTGGTCCGACGCTGTTAGTACAGCGGTACCCCTGTGACAACACCCACCGAGTCACCAACAGGTCACAAATCCTTCCATGACACACAAGGTGGTGCAAAGTTTACTGTACTATTACTTCTGAGTTATGTGTTGACACAAATATTAAAAACATACATTGCACTGGACTTTTGTTGTCATGGAAACAGTTTCATTATATTTAGACTTTGGAACAAACACTAGGTTACTTCCATCCATCCATTATCTATTCCTGAATGGGGTTATGGGGGAGCTGGAGCCAATCATCCTGGCCGGCATTCGGGCAAAGGTGGGGTACACCCTGGACAGGTCGCCAATCCATCGCAGGGCTAACATGTACACAAACAACCACACACACACACACACACACACACTCCTACAGGCAATTTAGATTCACCCATCAACCTGTGGGAGGAAGCTGGAGAGAACATGCAACAACAGAAAGGCCCCAAGTCAAAGGCTCAAACCCGGAACCTTTTTGCTGTGAGGCGACAGTGCTAACCACTACGCTACTTTGGTTAATTTAATAATTGACTACTATAATCATTTATTGATTGTATTGATACTGGTCTGAGTTTTTTTTTGGTTGGTTTGTTTGTTTTCTGAACAGCACCGTAGTTTAGCATGTTTACATGCTAATTATCACATATGAGCTGATTGGTTTTGCAGGTATTTGGTCATCAACTAAACTCCTGGACAAGTAAACATGAAAGGTCACTTAGGATCCCATAGATAGTAGTCGCACACATTCATACTTTAAGCATCATGGATATTTGTGCCAAATTTCATCACAATCCATCCAAAAGCTGTTCAGACATTTCAGTCTGGGCTAAAGTGGTGGACAGACCAACAGAGCCACAGCACCATCCATAAAGCCATGCTGCTGCAGAAGGTACTGTATTTTATGTGAACAAGAAAAATTACAACAGCTTGAGTGAAAACTTTGTCAGTAACACACAAACCAAATGGATTGTGAGACTGCAAATGAATGGAAAAGTTGATTGAACCGCAGCTACGGTTGCATTAAGAGGTCCTTACCTGCTACATAACAGTGTCCTCAAACTGTGTGTGTTGAAGCTGAGTGTCTGAGTGTGAGACAGAAAAGGGAGACATTATTATCAGGTAAGTGTTTACAACCTGCATTTTTGAAAGCTCTCCAAAAGGTTTTGCCAGGAGGACGACATTGCTGAAACGTATTTAGTGCTGATATGCATAATTAAGGGATTCATGCGCCCTTTTTGAAGGTTACTCTGCCACTTTGATAATTAATGTATGCAGTGCACAGAAGAACATGTCAAAATCTACTGTTTGCCACATGTCCTGCATTTAGCGTTTCGTACATGTTGTAAAAGCTCCTACACGGCACAACGTTGAGTCTCAAATCTGTCTTAACACAAACCAAATTCATGCAACAATTTCAAACCGCTAAACCACAAAACAAACAAACAAACAAACAAAAAACAGATAGTGAGCTGGACTTTCTGTCACCCTTATCCAAGGCAGAAGACTAAACTTGCCCAACGCTAAAATAGTCTGATAAAAACTGTTCACAATCACAGATACTTTCTTGTGTTGTTACAGTAGTTGTCTCCACATTTAATTAAGTTCAGTCTCACAGGAGTCTGGCTAAATATTGTGATCCACATCAATAAGTGAGATGATTATTTTCATCCAGTCATGCTTGCTCAGACATGGTTTCATCTTTGCTGTGGCTGTCAGCTTGAATGACCATCAGTTTCTCCCAGCAGCAGCCTCTTTTAGCAAAGTGAAGATATCCTTCTTGGCACCCCTCAACTCTTCTTCTTCTATCCATCTCCATTATTGTATATTTAAACCTTCTAATCTCAGTCTCTTTCTTTGTCCTCTTCTACCTCATCTCATCTGTAATTTGTTCATATTTGTGCATCTTCTTCCTCATTTTGTCCCAATAACCATTGTGCTCACCTCCTCTTTTTCTATTCAATCATTTCACACTTGTTTTTCCACAGACCTCTGTGTCCTTTCTCTGTTCATCTTTCCTCCTCTCACATCCCTATTTCTTTTATTTTCATCCCTCTATTCTGGTTTGTACTTTCTGAAAATCCTTAATTACCCAGGGACTTTTTCCTTGGCTGCACCTCCTCTGCTTCCCAGGCCTCCTCTCATTTCTCTCCTGGACTCCTCCTACAACTTTCTTGACCTTGTTCCTTAACCTCTATCATTTCCCATCATCCATTTGGTCTCTAGTTCTAATGGGCTTAGACTTTGGAGCTATTACAAAGTCCTCCATTCAGTTTTTTTTTATAACTTACAAAATGCCCTCATGTGACGTGAAAGCACATAAACTGCACATCACTGGGTTACTGGTTTTGTCACACGGCCCAGTGTATACAAACACGCTCACAGACAGACTGTTTCATTCTCATAATGAAAAACATCACACTCTGGTGCTAGATTAAGGTTTAAATGAAAGAACATCATCAGTGTTTGACACAAAGTTGCAGGGGAAAGCAACACGACTGCGTGACATTCTTTGGTCATGCTCTGATAAAGTTTCAGACCGCCTCCACCTGCCCCTCGAACGTGTTAGCTCCCACCACAGTCAACCAGCTGGCCAGGTCACCGTTTATGCACCACTAGGGTCAACAGCTGCTGTGTGTTCCTTGTCCATGTCAGGCCAAGGCCAGCACAACTGCTATGTCCTTGTATAAATACAACGATGCATGAATACAAACACATGAACTGTCCTCGAGAACTTTTGCCACATCAGTCACCATTTGCAGCCGTTTCCTAGAATGCCCTTGGATTGTCCCATCTGGACATTGCGTGTGTGTTTGTGAGTAAATGTGTGTGATGCCTAGGTATTATTTACATTATGGGGACCGAAACCTGTTAACACACACTCACATTGTAGGGACTTGATCGAGTTTGTCGGCGGGGAAAATCACAGAATTTTAGGGTGGCAACGTGGTTTAAGGCTAAACCCAGGACAAAACAAGAGCAGTATTGCTAAAGAGAAGTCGGTACAATAATAGTTTTATCTAGATTCTTTTGTTTTCATAACAGTTGGAAGCCAAAATTGTAATTGAAAATAAAATTTGATTATATTGTCCGGCTCTAGTACAATACATTTGTTAATAACCTCTAGAGGTGCCACAGAGCCAGAGCCACTATAAACAGGACTTCGCCTGTACAATAATATCTATCAACAAAACAAATTACTTTCCTAAAACAGCAGACTGAGGATATAAGTGCATTTTAAAATTTGCATGAAATCCAGTGGGTTTAGTAGAAGGTCTGATGTTAGACATGATTTAAGTGACTGATTTGAAGGAAAGGAAATGATCCTCAGCTGAGCCTTGTAACTTTATCCTCCTTGTTTTTCTTTTTTAGTAAATATTTTTATTTCATAGCCTTCAATTTCATATAATGTGATGCTTATGGAATCCACTACAAAGAAAACTCTAGACCTAACTCACTGTTGGTGAGTGTGTAACAGGAGGGAGATACACACACACACACACACACACACACACTTCCACAACTAAATCGATTTGCTGTCGTGTCCACTATAGAGCCAGTGTTACAGGTGAATCAGGGCTGCAAATCCACTAGGAGAACGGTACAGTCGCACAACTGTGGTGCGTGAGTCCACAGGGA